GTGTGAGGAGTCCTCCTCCTGGGGAGGAAGAAGTAGCAGAGACAGCTGATGACAGTGATGAACTGACTGACTGCAACCCCCATTCCTCATCCACCTGCAGGGCTTGGGGAGAGGAAGTAGAGAAATCAGGAGTGAAGCCGAGCCCAGAAGTGAGAGGTGGCGAAAAGGTGTTTTTAAGGCTGCGGTTTGTTTCTCATTACCCTACTTGGATTTGATTGGTAATGAAGTGAATGAATTTCCCTGGGTCCAGACTGTTTTGCTTGTGATGGTACCAGGTGAGTGATCTTTCCCCATCCTCCTCTTGACCCAGGAGCCTTTTCCTATGTTTTCTCTCCCTTGGCCAGCTGAGGAAGAGATAGAGCAGCTTTTGTGGACAGCCGGTGCCTAGACAGGGTTAACCCACCACACACATCAACACACAACACTATTCAAAAGGTAAATACAGCAGGAAGCATCCAGAGGCTTCTTGAATACTTAATGCTGTGGCGGTCTTTGATCTTAAAAACAATTACAGGATCAGAAATTATACAGAGTGACAACTAGGCCACCATAGTTCAGAATGGCTTCTTCTGGTGGACAAGCTAAATAGATGACAGTGCTTCACTTGGGAAAGAGACATCTAAGCGTCAGTATGAGACACATGGAGAAGGTGACAGATTAATTCCTATAGCACGAGAACTAGGTGCTATCAAATTAAATGATCAGGTAGAAGTTTGTACTTTAAAAATTAGAAATTTTTAGCTTGCACTATTAGATGCATGGCTCCAGGAATTAAATGGGTGCCCAAAAGTATAAATAACTTAATATATATATATAAAAAACCTAAATAGATGACAGTGCTTCACTTGGGAAAGAGACATCTAAGCGTCAGTATGAGACACATGGAGAAGGTGACAGATTAATTCCTATAGCACGAGAACTAGGTGCTATCAAATTAAATGATCAGGTAGAAGTTTGTACTTTAAAAATTAGAAATTTTTAGCTTGCGCTATTAGATGCATGGCTCCAGGAATTAAATGGGTGCCCAAAAGTATAAATAACTTTATATATATATATATAAATAACTTAAATATATATATATATATAAATAACTTAAATAACTTATTAAAAAAAAAAAAAGCAATCAGATTCATCCACAGCAAGCTATAAAATAATGCTAATAAAGGCACAACAAACCTCTAGCCCACAAAGCTCTTACACTACAGTTTGCTAGGCCGGTATATTAGGTAAGTGTAATTCTGTGGCGTTTTATAGGTTTTCTTTAAGCAGCTCTATTCTTTTCCAACGCTTGCCTTTCATCAGCCTCTTTGCCTCAACTCTGGCCATCTAGCAAACAGCTTTAAAGGTGGCATATTTGAAGCAGGGAGGCAGAGTCTTCTTCTACACCGTAGCACATACCCACATGAAGTACTGGCACCGTGTATTCCTTCCCACCAGTTCTTGTGCAAGCTGCACCAAAGGATTCACGTTCGCCCCGGTGTGTAAAGGGCAGGGCACCCACACAGCACCGTGTGGGTCTCTGCTACCTGGGGCATCAACATCAGCCACCCAGCAGAGGGAGCGTCAGCCCCTCCCTCCCGCCGCAGGGAGGGGAGAAGTTGGAAAAGGAAGCTGCATCTTTGTGCCATTCAGTGTCTCTGCAGGTGCTTAGCTCACATCTTTCTGTGTATCTACTCATACAGCTGCCAACGTATGTCAATTTCTGGGGAGAACTAGGCCAGCTGCATTTAGTTAAGCTAGTTAAAACTACAAGTATCCTACTTTGTTAGTCTTCAATGACCCAAGACTATTCCCATCCTCAGCTTCAAAATAGCTTCACTTACCAGATTTACTTAGTTTCCCCCTCTTTGTTTCAAAGTTTTTCTGCACTAGGCACTGGTGCCAACTGGGCTAGTTGGACGTTTGACCTGACAGAAGGAAAGCTTGTTTGGCTGCTGACTGAGGCTCATTACCATCCTGTTCCACTTACCCCTGGAAACAGTGAGAAACAAACCTCCAGATACCACTTCAGCTTTCACTGCCTTAACTAACACTATTCCATACCAGGAAAAAAGCCCAAAAAACAAAACCCACCAAAAAAATAACCCTTCTCAAACCTAGTTGTTTGATTCACCTTTGCTTTACTTTCAGATACACTGTGCTCACCCAGGTTTCCATGGATAGCTTCAATTGCTTCCTAGCATCATCAGCTTGTGCTGTGCCCACCCCTGGTTCTGTGGATATAGAACTTTATTAGTAACTTTTCATACACCTTTTCTTCTGCTTTGCAGATTAAACATTTAGTCCTCCTAAGAGACTCAGTGACAGGCTACTGCATGGCAGGACACTTCAACACCAGTTTTCACTGGGAAGTCATTGACTCTTAAAAAATTAACAGTTTAAATGCTAATAGTTTGTCTTACCATATTTGATAACGCCGCAAGATAAATACACCAGGATATGTGTATTTATTTTGGCCACATTTCTAGGCAGCCACACTCCTGAAACGAACCTTTACACAGCTGGAATTGTCACCTCTTCTAGTCGCAGAACTGGTAATGGTTTTGTACTGTGTTGTCTCTTTGGTTTTCTGTTTTACCAAAGGCCTCCTGACCCCAGCAGCACAAGCCAGACGAACACAAATTTCCACTTAAAAGAGAAACACGCACGGGGAAGCGGAGGTGTCACGCAGGGCCCCGCAAACCTCCCCAGGTAAGACACAAAACGGCTTCCCAGCCCTCAGCCGGACACCAGCGCCCCCCGCTCGGTGCCAGG